TAATATACTCTTTCACTCCTATATAAAAAAAATTAAAATATTTATGAACTAGCTGACCCGGCAGACTTCGCAGTCCCTCAATCTATAAATAAAAGACCTAAACTTTTGTCTATATCTATATCTATACTCTATACTAAATTATAAAGAGGAAAGATTTGTTTGTTTGTTTGTTTCGAATAGGCTCCGAAACTACTGGACCGATTTGAAAAATTCTTTTTCCATTAGAAGCCGACATTGTCCCTGATGAACATAGGCTACTTTTTTATTATTTTTTTATTTTATTTTTTTGGTTTCCTGTGTGTTTTAATGTTTCCGAAGCGAAGCGAGGGCGGGTCGCTAGTATAAAATAAACTTTAAAAAAAAGTAATCCGTCCGACGGGGGACACATCAAAGGAAAAACAAATTTATTATTTTTATTTAATTCCGAGCATTTTAATATTTATCTACCTTTTAAACCTTCTCTGGACTTCCACAAATAATTCAAGACTAAAATTAGCCAAATCGGTTCAGCCGTTCTCGAGTTTTAGCGAGACTAACGAACAGCAATTCATTTTTATATATAGAGATTTATGAATGAAATGAAAATAATCTTTGCTTATACTAGACTACATATAGAATTATGCACACTAGCAATGAATTTAAACTACGTTGTTAAATAACAAAAGATAATAAGAACAGAAAGCTGTAATAAAATTCAGATTACTAAACAATATCTCTATGGCTTAACATTGTGATAACATTCCCTAATAACGCGCTCGGCACTAAACAAAGAAATATTTACTTGAAGTAAACAAAAACATCGATTTTGTAGAAGAATAAGATATAGAGTAGAATTCATGACTGAGATTTGAAACTTCTATCTCAAGCTGGTGGCATTTACATTGTTGATGTATTTGGTCCACCCAAAGGAGCATATTGCTGAGAAGCAATAAAAAAAGAAGTATAAAACTTCTAAGGCTACCAGACAAGCAGTAAAAACAAAACTACATCTGAAAACGAAGCACAACAAGCGTTCCCTATTATTCTACAAAAAGGTGTCGCACATAACAGAGCTCGTAACAATATGAGAACCGAATTTATGTTCGGATGTCACCATAGCTGCAGTGACAAGGATTGTACTGACAAACATAAAACCGTTGTAAACTTTGTAATGAGCGCACCAATAGACTTGTCGTGTGTCGGCTTAACCCAAGCCGTTTGTGTATTAAGAAATATGTGACTTTTATTGTAAGTCAATATTCCCGCATGTGGGCGCTGCTCTATTATCGGACGATTGTTGACCATTGGTTAGGGACGTGAACAGAATTTCGTGGATCCCACGCAGCCCTGTTATATATTTTCCTGTCGTTAATGTCGTTATAAGCTGTTCAATATTTAACACAAAAGTGAAGTTCAGTTTAAATATAGCTATATAATATTGATGGCAATTATTATTTTTTTGGCCAGAGAAGCTTATTTGGTTAAAAGCTTATATATACGATTCGATAGAGGTTCGTGTAGTGACTCCTCGCCATTTTTGTTTTTATGATTGTAGATGAGCATTACTTATGATTTATTGATGGTAGGACCTTTTGTGAGTCCGCACGCGTAGGTACCACCACCCCGCCTATTTCTGCCGTGAAGCAGTAATGCGTTTCGTCTTGAAGGGTGGGGCAGCCGTTGTAACTATACTGAGACCTTAGAACTTAAGGTGGGTGGCGCATTTACGTTGTAGATGTCTATGGGCTCTAGTAATCACTTAACACCAGGTGGGCAGTGAGCTCGTCCACCCATCTAAGCAATAAAAAAAAAGAGGAAACAGTTCAGGGTTTCCAAGTTCAGTAGTTACCAGAGCTGGACGTCATAATTACCACCTCACCATTCATACTAGACTTCTGCCAGCTTCACGATAGATATCAGGATGGTAATGCTTACCTAAATCAACGAAGAATTATTTTAGATAGGTTAATATAATTGATATTGATTTATATCATACTACAAAAGTGTAATTAAAATCAAATAAATTAAAGAATAAATCCCTAGACTCACTAGTAGATGTGATATTAATCCAATTAAAACGTGCATATAATTACATTGTAATATTTTCTTTAACGTTAATAATGATTTTCATAATATATTACAATTAAACTACAAAATAAATATACCAGACAATCAAATGTGAGTTCCTAATAGAAAACGCATCCAGACTCGTTTTGTTATACTGTGTTCAGTGAAATACGTATAATAATAACAAGTAATCCGTAATTGATGTCGAGTAATCAATCCGAATTAACCAAAGAATGTTGCCTATTATTTAAAGTGACACAAAACGACAATTCTTGAATCGTGAGTGTGAGTCACATACAAGTCTTTTTAAAATGTCGTCGTGGCCTAAACGATAAGACGCCCGATGCAGTCGTATCAAGCAATGCAACGGCGTTCGAATCCCGCAAGCAGGTACCTACCGTTTTATTCTAATGAAATACGTACTTAACAAATGTTCAACATTGACTTCCACGGTGAAGGAATAACATCGTGTAATAAAAATCAAACCACCAAAATTATAATTTGCGTAATTACTGGTGGTAGGACGTCTTGTGAGTCCGCACGGGTAGGCACTACCACCCTGCCTATTTCTAACGTGAAGCAGTAACGTGTTTCGATTTGAAGGGTGGGGCAGCCGTTATATTGTAAAAATTAAGACTTAGAACTCATGTCCCAAGGCGGGTGCCGGTATTTACTTTGTCTATGGGCTCCAGTAACCACTAAACACCAGGTGGGCTGTGAGCTCGTCCACCTATCTAAGCAATAAAAAAAACCTGTGTTCGTGCTACCGTCCTGCCCGTGTTTGATGCGAAATATGCATGGCATTCCGGTTTAGACGGTAGCTGTAATTATAATACACGTACGACATCACCTCATATCTCAAAGAGTAAGTACGTCTATTTTTACATTGTGAAACTTGAAGCCAAAAAAAAATTATTACTACCAGATTTAAACTTACTTATGAAAAAAAATAGAGTATAATAAATTTGAATTGCCGCGCGTTAAAAAAATCAAAAGATATGAATATCTTGGAAACTCTCCATCTGATAGATAAGACGCCCAAAATAGTCATGTACCCAAAGAAAGACGTGGGTTGCTAATGGGGCAATCATCGGTTTTTCTAAGTAATTAAATTCACCAATAAAATGTAAACCGTGTTTTTATGTACAACTTAATTACAGTGGGTGTTATGAACGAATACGGGTGGGTAATTCTTAGCAGGGAACGGAAACCGTGCGTTCTTATAGGACTGTATTTGATTAAATTAACTCCTAGAGCCGCCTCGGAGAGTACTCTACGGCAGACACAATTTTTAGTTTCTGTTTGGCATTAAAGATGCCTTTATCAGATATGAAAGGCAAATGACCGAAATCTTGGATTCTAAGTTAATCTATATATATATAAGGTAAAAGCACTAATGCTGGACATTGAACTAAAAGATGACACTTTAAAAAAAAATATATTCTAATAAGGAAACTAAACACTTAAATAACATTGCTATTGATGTTAAAGACACCTAGTACCATGTATGATACATTCTCAAAAGCTTGCGTACAGTGTTAGAAGCAAATTTCAAATTGGCATCAGTTGACAACAAACAATGTGAGCAGGTTGACGTTTTGCGCGTAATTCTTAGCGTATTCCTTAAGCCATCTGACTTTTAACAGGTATGATTTTGTCTTATATTTATAATTATTGGCTACTGTTGGTTTCGATATTATAAATGTATGAAATTATTGATTTATTAGGACCAATTCCTTGTTATTTTGGTTTGTTTTTGTACAAATTTTAAGTGGTGTTTACTATTAGTACCAAAAATGAATCAAAACCTAAAAGATGACACGTGTGTCTTCTACTAGGGTTACATCGAACTGAATTTGTTAGCTTAATTTTCTTCAAATTCAGCCTTTATGTTGTAAAACAAAAGTTTCAATCTGAGTTTCGTTCATTTTACACGAGCCTAACTAAACGAAGACAGTGTCAACTATTAGGGTATACTAGATGTCAACTATTAGTATCAATTAATTTCAGCTTAAGTTTCGAGCACGATGCCACCAGTAAAGGGTCAGATGTTTCAATACTCTGAAGCCAATATTGAAGAAGCCATAAA